CAGCCTTGCTCGGTAGAGTAAATAGTCTTGATTGCAGGCCTTTGTTTTTCATTACTTGGAATATTTCTTGCCATTCCTTTCTGACTTGTAGTTTTTGTGTTGAGAAATCAGCTGATAACCTTATCAGAGCTCCCTTGTATGTTACTGTCTGTTTCTCTCTTGCAGCTTTTAAGATCCTCTCTTTGTCTTTAAAATTTAGCATTTTAATTATGATGTGTCTTGGAGTGGGCCTCTTTGGGTTCCTTAAGTGGAACCCTCTGTACTTCCTGAATTTGCATCGCTTTTCCCCTCTCCAGGTAGGGGAAGTTTTCTGTCGTCATGTTTTCAAACAGGTTTTCTGTCACTTGCTCCTTTTCTTCTCCTTCTGGTATTCCTATGAGGTGAATGTTGTTTTCGTTTCATGTTGTCCTAGAGTTCCTTTAAGCTGTCCTCATACTTCTTGAGTCTTTTTTTCATGCTGTTGCTCTACCTGGGTATTTCTTCCTACCTTGTCTTTCAGCTTACTAATTCGGTCCTCTGCTTCATCCATCCTGCTTGTAATTCCTCTAGTGTATTTTCTATTTCATATATTGTATTCTTCATTTCTTCATGGTTTTTGTTTACAGTTTCTATTTCCTTTTTCATGCTGTTGTAGTTCCCACTCAGTTTTTTGTAATTGTCACTGAGTTCTTTGAATATCCTTATGGGCATTTTTTTGAAGTCTATGTCTAATAGATTGCTTGCTTCAATTTTATTTATGTCTTTTACTGGGGATTATTCCATTCCTTTCCATTGCAGTTTCTTTCTTTGTCTCCCCATCTTAGGGGATTGTTTTTGTTTGTTTCTGTATCTCAGGGTGCTCTGTTTTGTCTGCCTGTTTTTATGGGGTGGACTTACATGGTAGGAGTTCTGTTGGACTCAGCAGTCTCTTTGATCTCCTTATCTAAATACTCTAGGTTGCACTTTTGTTTATGTGGGCTCTCTTGTTATACTTGGGTTTAATTGTTGGTGGCTTCTTTGTTTGTGGGTTCTCCCTTCCAGTGGGCTTACTGTTGTACAGGTATTAGTTAACAAAGCAGTATTACCAGACAACCAATCCTATGTCAGCGAAAAGAACCCTCCTACCACATCAGCAATGTCAACCACAATTGAGCAGAGATTGATAAAGGTGAAGAGAGATTACAGATGTTACAAGCTATGAAAAATTGAATATGAGATGACTAAAAGAGGGGAAAATATTGAGTGGTAAGAGGAAGGAAAATTGATAAGAATAGGTATAGAACCAAGGTGAAGAAAGTTGGAGAACAAAATTTAAAACATAAGTAAAACACAAAAGGATGATAGGAGCAATGGGTTAGGAAAAGGGAAGATTATACTCTGAGGTTTGAAGTAAAATTGAAAAGTTATTATACCAACGGAATCAAAATTGCAGAAAAAACCACAAGATGGTCAATAGCAACAGCTGCTTAATGAAGTTTAATAGAGGTGGAGTAGGAATAAGAATATTGTGCAAAAACAAAAAGTGAATATGAGATGTGTACTGTAAAGAAAAGTGATTTTGAGAGGATGGGGGAAGCAAACTAGTAAGAGTAAGGAATAAAACCCAGATTGAGAGAGGGGGGGAAAATGAAATAAAATTCTTCCCTCAACTGATCAGGGGCAGGGGAAGGCAGAATGGTGTAAGAGGGAGAGTAATCTGTAGGATTTCAAGTACAAAGAAGTACTGAACAAATAGGAGTTCTGTTGTAGAAGTACAGCAATAACCATGGTATTTCATTCAACTAGCCACTGTTTATAAAAGGTGGAAAAGAAATAAGACTCTTATAAGGGGGGGAAGAATATGAGCTGACTTTAGAAGGAAGAGCGCTTATGGGAGGTTAGATGGAAGAGAAATAGTGAGTGTAAGGGATAGCAACATAGCATTTAATGAGAGAAGATAAAGTTTATCACAACTGTAATAAAGCTCATGAAGATGGCAAAATGGACTAAGACCAGGGAAGGATGCTGTGTGTTATTTGGAATAACGATAATATGATTAAAAAATATATAATATGAATGAAAGGAATAAAAAGTAAAAGACCCAAGAGTAGTGAGTTATTTGGAATATGAGGGAAGTGAAAGAAGAAAAAGTAAAATCAATATGAAAGGGGAAAAACAAAAATAAAAAGGAAAAGAAGAGAAATTTTTAAAAATGCAAGATATTCTTATGAAGAGCAAGGTGAAATTTGTCTCAGCTGTTGGTGTTCACCTTGTGACTTCTTTCTGGGTCTGTCTCTGGTTTTCTCTCAGCTCCAGTTCTTACTATCTTACTCTTGCAAAAAAAAAAAATAAAGGGAAGAAAAGAACCCCCCCCGCCCCGAGCTGGTTAAGCCTTCCCAGCCAGTTTTGCAGATCTGCCCGGCTCCTGCAGGCATTGGGGGTTTGGGCTATTTTCCCTCTCGGGTGGTTTGGCAAGGATGGGGGTACTCAGTCTGGGCTACAACAATTACAGATACCCAGTTTCCAGCCCATGCCCCCATAGCACTGTTTGGCCCACACTCTCTACCCAGTTGTGCCATGCTGGTGCTGATAAACCACCTCACTTTGCACCCCATTGATCAATCTGTGAGGAGCACTGAATGGGAGCAAATCTTGCCCACAATCCTCCTCCTTTGTTGACCTAGCAGCTGCGAGTGCAAGATCCCTGCCCAGTGCACCTCAGTTCCCCTTTGGAAAAAAGTCTTTGTTGTCGCTGATGTTGCTCTGTGCCACTGCCTGGCTTTTCACACTTTCCAACTCGCTGACAAGTCCAGAGTCTATCTCAGTCTCAGCCAGTCACAGCTCACCTTTTCCCCCAGCTCCAGGTGCTACCAGGATCTGGCACCATCCAACCTGTGACCTCTGCTCCAGTTTGGATATAGTCAGCAGTGGGTGTACTTGCTGTCCTTTTGTTACTCGCTCTCCCCCACAGCGACTTTACCCGTTTAAATATCTCCTGGTATGATTCTGGGAATTCACTGCCCTGGGAGGGGAGGGAGCTGCTACACTGCTATCACTGACCTGGCTCTCCTCCAAGGTTTCTGGTGCCCTGCCAAGCACTTTTATCTTCCCTTCCATGCTAAATGATAGCTTTGGTAGATAGAGTGATCTTGGATATAGGTTCTTGCCTTTCATGACTTCAAGTACTTCTTTCCAGCCCCTTCTTGCCTATAAGTTTTCTTTTGAGAAATCAGCTGATAGTCTTATGGGCACTCCTTTGTAGGTAATTGTCTCCTTTCCTCTTGCTGCTTTTAAAATTCCTTATCTTTAATCTTGGGTAATTTAATGATGAAGTGCCTTGGTGTGTTCCTCTTTGGATCCAACTTCTTTGGGACTCTCTGAGTGTCCTGGACTTCCTGGAAGTCTATTTTGTTTGCCAGATTGGGGGAATTCTTTATTATTTTTTCAAATAAGTTTTCAATTTCTTGCTCTTCCTCTTTTCCTTTGGGCACCCCTATGATTTGGATGTTGGAACATTTAAAGTTGTCCCAGAAATTCCTCAGCCTCTTCTCATTTTTTTGAATTCATGTTCCTTCATTCTGTTCCAGTTGTTCTTCCTTTTGTTCTAAATCATTAAGAGTCCCGGTTTCCTTCCCTTCACTGTTGGTTTCTTTTATATTTTCTTTTATTTCCTTTGTGTAGCCTTTATTTCTTCCTTCATTTTGCAACTGAGCTCAATCAATTCTGTGAGTGTCCTGATTACCAGTGTTTTGAACTCTGTATCTAATAGGTTGGCTATGTCCTTGCTGCTTAGTTGTTTTTCTGGAGTTTTCATCTGTTCTTTCACTTAGGTGGTATTTCTTTGTCTCTGCACACTTGTTATGTTGTAAGGAGGCAGAGCCTTAGATATTCATCAGGGCAGGGCAACCCTCATTGCTGCATTGTAGTGCTGTCTGTCAGGGAGGCATCAGAGTGGGAACAATGCTGCTGGCTCGCTCTGCTCTAGCCCCACTTTCCAACAAACTCTCTTGTGAGACTGGGATTTCTTCAGCCTTCACAACCCCCACAGTATTTTACAGCTAGGGGTTTTGAGTCTTCAGTTTCCCAATCAGCCAGCCCCACGTAGCCCATGTGGCCCACTGTCTTGTTGGTGGTCCTCTCCTCCCTGCTGCTGTCTCTACCCCTTCTACCAGTCTGGATGAATGTTTCTTTAACTCCTTGGTTGTTGGAGTTCCATGCAGTTTGAATTTCTGTCAGTTGTGGTTGTTTATTTTTTTAAGATTTTATTTATTTACTTTTAGAGAGAGGGAAGGGGAAGGAGAAAGAGAGAGAAAGAGAGGGAGAGAAACATCAATGTGTGGTTGCCTCTTGCGTATCCCCTACTGCTGGGGTCATGGCCTACAAGCTAGGCGTGTGCCCTGGCTAGGAATCAAACCAGCAACCCTTTGGTTCACAGGCCCATGCTCAGTCCACTGAGCTACACCTGCCAGGGCTGTTTATTGTTTTTAAGTTGGTTATCCTTCTTTTGGTTGTGCAAGGAAGCTAAGTGTTTCTATTGATGCCTCCATCTTGTCTGGAAATCTGTCTTGTTTTTATGTCAGTATGCTGTTGTTTTGATTACTATAGCCTTATAGTATAGTTTGATATTAGATAGCATGATTCCTCCAACTTTGTTTTTTCTCAAGATTGCTGTTGGCATTCAGGGTCTTTTATAGTTCCATATAAATTTTAGGTATATTTGTTCTATTTCTATGAAATATGTCATTGGTATTTTGATAGAAATTGCACTGAATCTATAGATCTCTTTGGGTAGTATGGACATTTTCATGATGTCAATTCTTCCTATCCATGAACGTGGTATATGCTTCCACTTACTTGTATCATCTTTGATTCCTTTCTTTGGTGTCCTATAATTTTCCAAGTATAGGTCCTGGTTAAATTTATTCTTACATGTTTTATTTTATTTGAAGTCAACATTGTTTTAATATTATAAATAAATGTTAGCTTTAGTCTTCTGAAGAAATGCATTTAAATATGCTATCTTAAATTCTAGGATATGAAAGATGGCAAGTCCAGATAGAAGTAAACGGAAGATATTAAAAGCAAAAAAAACAATGCCTGCCAGTTGCCGGAAGCAAATAGAGATCCTCAATAAGTCAAAGAATGTTGAAGCACTGAAAACAGCAGCAATTGGAAATAATGTGTCAAGTGATAATCAGAATTCAAGTATTGGTGTCATAAATAACAAGTGTAGACATTCTGAAAATGACGCTCCTTCTTTGGACTCTACCAAAAATTCAATATGCTCGCAAAAAAGTAATATAGTTTCTCAGAATGTAATAAAACCACTAGAATTTGGTTTGGAAACAAGATTGCAGTACATTGAAGAACAAGTTGTATGCCTTTACCAAAAGCCAAGTAAACCAATAGAATCTCCCAGGAAACTGTCTACACAAGATGCAAAAGATTCACAAAACACTTCTGAAAACCATTTTGAATATCAGGCAAATGTAACAAGATCCTTTTTTGAACAACACAAAGTGGATTGTAATCTGAAATCCACTAGTGATCCACGCAGTGTATTGAGTGGTATAGTTCAAATGCCAGAGTCTACAGTAATCAATTCCTTGGATGATAAGAGAATTGATAAGATGGTTTCCCAATTAGAAACACATTATAAAAGGCAAAATAACATTTTGACTTTAAGTTCAGACACCCGTTTTGTCCCTGTTGATAAAACACATATGGTGGTGAATTCAATCATTTCTAGTAACTGTATTGCTGACAGTTTGAAAGGTGAAGAATCCTGTAGAGCCTGTCATTCCAGCATTTCAGATTGTGAAAATACAGACTCAACATGGCTGTCATCACTTGACACAGATAGGAGTAACAGTAAGTGTATGCTTGTACACCTTTTGTGCAAATCAAAATAATCACTCTTTGGGGGGATTTTATAGTCTCAGATGTAGAAACAGTGCATTCAAGGTGGGGGAAAAGTAGGTTTATAGTTTTTTGCATGGAAAATGATAACAATAATCAATAAATAATTGTACAAGAGTAAACTGTTTTGCATACTCACAACTGTAAATGTACTTTTTCTCCACCTTATATAGGAAAAAAAGTAGACAATGACAATAATTATTTGAGTATCTTGTTTCTGAACCATTCTTGGTGGGGTGGGGAAATGGTATCTTTTAGGTCCAAAGGGAGGTAAATTATGTCAAAGAAGAAATCAGTCACTTTTCCATGAGAGTGCAAAAAAATCAAAAGGTAGTTCATGGCATTTGTTTGGTTTATTTCATCTACATCCTTTTTTATTCTGAAGTTTTATTTATTAGATTAATAGGTGAATTGAAAGAAACTGTGGGTTTTTTAATTGTTGGTGAACCCATAGTATTTTTCATAGAATTGACCTGTAAATCATATGCCAAGTTTGACCTGATACATGGTAAGAATATATACACATGTACATGGATGTGTGTGTAGAGTGAAACACATCAAATAATTAACCAGTGAAGCTTTAGGGTTATGAAATCATTAAAATGCCTAAAGTATATTTCATTAGAAATAGGTGTTTTTGTAGTTTAATGAAGTATGAAAAAAACTGATTTTATAGGATAAATCTTGTGTTTTTGTCTAGGCTACAGAATGATCATTGAACAAGATGAATTTAAAATTGCTTAAAGATAGGATCACCTGTTAAAAATATGTAGGACTACCTAAGTAACTGTTTATAAAGATATTGTGACCACTTAAGTAACTATAAATATATAGAGGATTAAATGATACAGCTTATTCAGTTTTTGTCAGTATTAAATAGATGATACGTGTGTATTAAATAAGGTTGGAGGGAAAGTGTATTTGAGACCAGAACCCTACCTAGGATATTCATTAAAAAAAAAAAAAAGATTGTCGCAATTTTTTATACAATTGCATTTTCTAAAAACTGCTGCCATGATCACATGTTAGTTTTTTAATTTGCTTAGAGGGTTCCTAAATTAGACAATGTCCCTGTTTCCTTCATTAGAAGGAATATTTTTATCTCTGATCTCTCCATCTCCCCAAGGCCATAATCAAAAGAAGAGGATGTTTTCAGAAAACAAAGAAAATGTTAAGCGCATGAAAACTTCAGAGCAAATTAATGAAAATATTTGTGTAGCTCTGGAAAAGCAAACAGCATTGGTGGAACAGGTAAAATATTGGTACTTAAATATTTGGGTCAGAAATTTTTACGTTTGATTAGTTAAAACAGGTAAAATTTAATTAATCCCCATAATGACTTAGTACAGATGACTTTCACTTGATGCAAAACTGGTATATTAAAACTGAATTAGCAGATAGAGTTATTAGGGGAAGATAATTATTTACATTTCCAAAATATTGCTAGTTTCCTGAGAGTGATCCAAGGCAGAGTAACCAAGGTAGAGTTCTCTGGTAGAAGGAGAAGGGGCTTAAATCTCTTTGTGAGTCAGATACTGCATGACCTTGAGCTTTGCTGAAAAATCTGTTTTGTACTGGTAATGGGGTTCTTTGGTCTGCATCTATAGCTGTTTGTAGACATTATCACAATTGATCACTATTTCCTAGACTCAGACAACCTAAAAGTTCATTGCAAAGTCCTGTTACATTCAGGTTTCCTTGCCCTAATTTCCAAGTTTACACAGATATGCTATTATTAGCTGACATTTTGCTTTATAGTATCATTAAATGCATGTTTTGCTTTTCATCTTTGCTCCATATCATCTCATTGTATTACAATTTCTATACATGTCTTACCAACTCTGAGTTTAAGTGTAATGAGATTCAATTTTAGTAGGTCCTGTTTTGATCATCATTTTTTCCTATTTTACTGTGCATATTTACCACTAGAATGCCACAACTAAAAGTCATTAAGTAGTAAATTAATGCCTTGACAGTTGTAATGGAACAAAAAAAAGTCTCAATTCAAACTATCCTGCTTAACTGCATAAGAAACAAAAGCACTACTGTTTTTTTAAAAAAACAGACCATTAAAATTATATAGTTACGTATTATAAAAATATATATTCACATAATACCTGGAAGTCTTTTGAAAGACTCATGCAGAACCAGCTTAACAGATGAGTTAACAGTTTTCCCTTTATACTTCTTACTCTCTTCCATGAAGACCAAAAGAGACACTAATAAAAAATATGTAAATATTCTGTTGTTTGCGAGGAACAAGTAGCATAATAATGCTAAGCGCTGGATGTAGTTTAAGCAGAAGGTTGGCAATTATCGCTGTGGCTTATTTCCAGTGATTGGTGACTGAATTCAGAAATATGGACACATAATTACAAAGTAATCCTTGGAAGTGTTCGTTTCAGTGGCATGGAAAAATTAGAATTTTCATTCATTATTATCTGCCTCACAAAGTAGTTGGTCAAAGTTGGCACAGAAAATAATCCTTCCCAGTGATGTTTAAGGAATGTAATTTATCTTCCCACTCTACCTCCATCCATCCCCTACCTGGAAGTTTCTTGCACAATCTCCAGAGACAACTTGAGTTTTAGCTAATTCCTATCTTTTTATCTATCTCTGAATTACTAGGCTAGCTTACCCTCATTTAATGTTCTGATTCCTGTCCAAACAGTAAACTTTCTAAACTGCATCTAAATTAAATAAACTACATGGTTTTTTCTTGATTGAATCCCAGTGGAATAGGGTCTCCCATTCTGACATTGTTCTTCCCTGCTGAGAGAGTCCTGCAGCTGGTGACTCTTCCTTTGAGATTTCTTAAGGATCTTTGCCTAGTTGGTTCTGATTAAATTACTGAAGTAGAGGGGGTTTTATTCTAATACACAGGTTCGTTACTCTACCCACCATCTTAGAAAGTTGAGGCATATAGGGGATATAAAATTGCCAGTCTTACTCCATTCTTTAGGCTCCTTTGTCTTCTCCAAATTGGACCTAGGACTTCCATCTGATTTTATGATTTGGACACATTACTATTGGCAGAAGACATTCAGGAGGTATCTGGTGGAGGTTATTGTGTCTGCCTTCTGTATACAGAACAACACCACTAAATGAGAACAAATGTCAACCTAACCAAGGATAATTACCCCTTGGTGGTATTTAATCCAAAATAAGTTTTCAGAGTCTGCCTCCCTCTGAATTACTAGGAGTACGTGTTTAAATTGTGGTTTCTTGGGCTCACTCAAGAAATAGTTGAAGACTATTGCTTTAGGCTGCTCTTTTCTCAAACTCAACTGATAAGAATCACTAGTAATACTTGTTAATTATATAACTTTTCAGTCCCCTTTCTAGGAAATTCTGTTTGGTGAATCCAGGAAAGGGACTAGGAATTTGTGATTATAGCAAGTAACCCTGTGGTTCTTCCTCACCAGGGAAGTTTCACAAACACTGTGTGGCTTTTGCTTGTTATCAAAACATTATTCCCATATTCAAAACAGATCTTTCTCCAAGGTTCATCTGTGTATGAACTTCACATATTGACCCCAGCTAGTAAAGTTGCAAGCATGCAATAATCCATGAAAACCACACATGGGTGACAGATAATGGCTGTCAGTGAAAATAGTATGTGTTTTAAGCATTTATTTACATAACACATATTTTAAGCACTTATTAATTTAATTAAGTATTTAAGAGTTGTAAAAATAATGACCATCATGTCTAATGTTGAGAAACTGTTGAAGAAATGTTAATAAAGCATTACAGAAGAAATCAAGTAGAAATAGGGTTGAAGAGCAAGAACAGTTGAAAATGAGGAGGAAAATCCTTGGGAATAATCAAAATTGCTGAATATGTGACTTAATTATCCAGGTGATACTAGTATATAAGAGTTTAAGGTAGAAACTTTGTGTTTCAATTTTGAGCACCAAGAAGCAAATACTATAATTTTTGGACCATTAAAAGCACTTAAGTTTTAGAGGAGGAAAATAGGAAAAAAAATGTTTGAAGCAAAAAATGTGGTAAAATATTTAATAACATAAATAACATAATATTTCACCAATGTAAATATAAACAGAACTCAACAGCAGCATTAACAACAATTATTCCTCCCAAATTTGGGGGCGGGTGTGTCTTATAGTATGAAAAATAAGGTAATAGGATAAAGTTGTAAATATAACTATTAAACACTTTAAATGTATTATGACAGGTTTTATCATTATGATAGACTACCTTCTCTGGTACAAAAGTTGCTTAAAAATCATACACATTGACCAAGTAACTATAGTAGATATTTCTGAATATATCTCTAATCAGAGCTGTTCATATCATTGGGCACTGAGATTAAATATGCTTCTTGAAAATAAGCCAGTCTGTTTGCTAAAAAACAGCCAGATAATGAAATGCATCAGTATTTCATGTTATAGCTATCATAATCTCTTTGAATAACATGCATTATGCCGGATAACATAACACCACATAATTGTCCCTACAATTTTAACAATAAGTCACCCCCTATAAAACTATATTTATAAGGATTATCTTGTATATTTAGTTCCTTTAATGTCAATTCAGTGTTTTTTATCTTTTGGAGCTCTTCCACATGTTGTCTATAATGTTCTTATAAAAATCCTATGAGCATCTCTCGTTCAATATTGTATCACCTACCCATTTGTGAACAAGGAAAATGAAGCTCACAGATGTTGTGACTTCCCAAAGGTCGTCTAACTGTTAATGGCAGGGTCAAAGGTCAGACTTCATAATTTGTTAGATCTCTAGTAGAGACCAATTAACCATTTTCATTGGGCTCTATTTTTCAGATAAGCGGAGTTCCTTTCAATGAAATAGTAGGTTTAATGACCATAGTCATTAAAAAATATAAATGGGATACAGGCTTTTATTGCCCTTTAATATGTATTGTGGAATTCAACTGAAACTATAGGAAACTAAAATAAGCTCTAGGAGAATAAATTTATTGGTGTGTTTTACTGAATTTGATACTCAAGTTTTATAAAACTTACTGGTGTAATAATATAAATATAAATATATATAAGTATATTGGTTACAGAAAATCCAGAAGAGAGCAAAGCTATTTTTAAGCAGTAGAGAATAAAATTGCTTTTAAATTTGAAACATGGGGTGTTTTGGTTTTTATTTTAAAATTCTAGGTCAGACATTTGATTCAACAGGAGATCTGTAGTATAAATTACAAACTATTTGATAACAAACTGAGAGAATTGACCGAACGCATTGGGAAGATACAGTGCAGGAATAAACATGAAGCAATAGCTGATGAACTCATCGTAAGTTTCTAATTTCATTTGATTTCACTTGAGTCCTTTTAAAAAGTAGAATTTGGTGATATTTTATACGTTAGGAAAGGAAAACAATAAGGCAGACCCAAATATCCCTGGCCACAGGCCTGGTGCACCAGATTTCTATAGGTAAAGAATTGATATTATGCCAGCAATATTGGCCCTTGACAAACGTTTTAGAAATGTTAGCTATTCTATATCAACTGACAGGCTTAATACATAGACATTTTCTTTTAATTCAAAATATATTCTGTATTAGAGTTTATACAAGCAGTTTCAAGGGCTGGTGTGTGTGTGTGTGTGTGTGTGTGTGTGTGTGTTTTAGGATTACTTGCTGATTGGTGTTTCTACCAACATTAATTTTATTATGGACCAATTAGAAGATTGGTGTTTTTATTTTCCATTCTAGAGTGTCATACTAGCATCAAACATGATTTTTTTCATTGAGTTAACATTGGTTTATAACATTAAAGTTGCAGATGTACATTATAATTCAGTATCTGTATACATTGCAGTGCACTTACCACCAAAAGTCTAGTTTCCATCCATCTCCATACTGTGACCCCTTTTACCCATTTCACTCTCCTCCAACCCACCCTTCCCCTCTTGTAACCACCAATCTGTTGCTCATAGCTAAGAGTTTTTGTTTTGTTTTTTTTTGGTTTTTGTCTGTGTGAAATTAATACAATTTTGGTTTTTTTCTGTCTGACATATTTCACTTAGCCATGACACTCTGAAGGTTCATCCATGTTGTCACAAATAACAATATTTTATTTTTTTAATGCTGCATACTATTCCATTGTACATAAACCACATCTTGATCCATTCATCAGTAGGATTTAAATCTTTGGCTTATATAACAATTTCTGGTTTATTTGAGTGTATGCTTAAGTCTCTCAAAACTGCTTTGGAAAATAGTTTTCTCTCCATCTCTATATTTCTAGTACTCTGGTTACATATTTACTTGTTTTTCTCTTCTAGGCAAGAGTAGCAAAACTTCAAAAGTGTATTAAAAAGATATTGTTATCTCAAAGGAATTGTTTGGATCCAAACATGTTACCCAGTAATACAGACTGTAAGGTTGGTATAAACACATAGGACTTTTACTAACTTCTTTAGCCCACATTATAGTTGTTGGATTATATGTTTCCGAACTCAGAGGGATTAAAAGATAATAAATTGATACTTAGAATGTTCCTGTAACTTTATCTCTGGTGAAGATACCCTGAGGTAACCAAAAGTAAATGCCACACGTATTACTTTAATAAAGTAAGTAGAGAGGGGATTTCTGATTGCCTAGATTATCCACCTTCCCACCATTTTAGCATGCTGAGACATACACAGCGAAGTTGAAGTAATTTTACAGTGAACCCTTGTATACTAAGCACCTAAATTCTACCTTTCCTATTTTAATATATTTATTTTTCTCATCTGTCAATCTGGTCATTGGTTAAGCCATCTTTATATATGATACATTAGGTACAAATATATTTTGTATCAAAATACACTTTGCAATGTACACATAAAACATGTTAACATAGATGTCATTAAGTAGAATTTAGTGTCTGTTTATATTTTTACATAAAATTCAAATGTAATCTTCAGTGTACATTCACTGGATTTCTTTTTTCTTGTAGTGTCTTTATTTATTTTGGTATCATATTTATGCTATCCTCAATAAATGAATTGGGAAATATTCCTTCCCCTGTTTTTTGAAAGTGTATAAGATTTTTATTACTTCCTTAAATATTTGATAGTATCCACCTCTGAGCTTTCTTTATAGGAAAACTTTCTCTTCAAAATTCAGTTAATAGGTGTAAGGCAATTCAGATTTTTAAATTTCATTTTGCATCAGTTTTCTAAGCTACTTTTTGGAAGGAATTTGTTCATTTTATCTAAGTTGTTGAGTATTGTAGCATAAAACTATTGATAAAATTAAATTCCCTTGTCTCATTAATATTTGTAGGTGTGTAGTGATATACACTCTTTCATTTCTGATACTTATAAGCTGTTTTTTCCTTAATCAGTCTTACTAGGAATTTTAAAATCTTATTAACTCTCTATCACTTGTATCTTTTCTATTTTTTATTAGATTCTCTCTCTTACATTGGATGTAATTTTTTCTTTTTCCAGCTTCTTAAGAAAGAGCATTAATTTTTACCCTTTTTTACTGGAAAATATTTAAAGCTATAAATTTCCTTCTAAGCACTGCTTTTTCTTGTATCTTCTCAACATCTCAGTACAGAAGATGATGTATTTGATAAATTGTATTTTTGTTTTATATCAGTGCAAAGTAATTTCTGATTTCCCTAGGGGTATTGTTCTTTGACTCATGTTCTTTGACTATTTAGAAGTGTGTGTTTAATTTCCAAACATCTGATGCTTCTCTAGGTATGTTGTTTTTACTGATATTCAATTTCATTTTGGTCTGAGCACATACTGTGCAAAATTTCAAACTTGAAAGTTAACTGACACTTATTCTTGTAGTCCCAGGTATAGTTTCCTTTGGTGAATGTTTCATGTATTCTTGAAAAGAATGTTAGGTGTAATGTTCTGTAAATGTCACTTTTGAGTTAATTGTGCCAAGGTAATTGAGAGTGGTGAATAATGGCCATGAAAAGATGCCCATGACCTAGTCCTCAGAATGTGTGACTATCGTACTTTACATGGTAAAAGGACCATATAGATTGGGAGATTACTCTGAGGGTTTGGTACTCCTAAAAGTACTTATAAACAGGAGTCAAGAAGGTCACAACAGAAGAAAGAGATGGGACCATGGAAGCAGAAGTTGGAATGGTTGCATTGAAAATGGAGGAAGGGACTGTGTGCCAAAGAATGCTGGCAGCTTCTAGAACCTGAGAAAAGGAAACAGATTCTTCCCTGAAGTCTCCAGAAAGGATGCAACCCTGCAAACAACTTGATCTTATCTTAGTGAAACTGATTGCAAATATCCAGCCTCCAGAACTATGATGGAATACATTTCTGTTTTAAACTACCCAGTGTGTGGTAATTTGTTACAGTGGCCTGAGGAAACTAATACAGAATGTGGTACCAGGGCATGTGGGGTGCTGCTGTAACAAATAGCTAAAAATGTGGAAGTGGAATGGGGTGATGGGTAGAAGCTGGAAGAATATTGAGGAGCATGATTTTTTAAAATCCTGGATTTCCTTGAGCAGACTCATAGTAGAAATGTAGATGTTAAACACTGTAAGTGAGGGCTCAGAAACGAAATGAGGAGCACCTTAGAGAAGACCTATATAGTCAAAGAGAGTATCTAAATCTTCATAAAAAGACTTGGTAAAATATGAACATTTAAAATCACAGTTGGTGAGGACTCAAAAGGAAATGGGGAAAGGGGATTCTTGCCACATAGTGGCAGGAAACTTAGCTGAATTGTGTCCTACAGTGATATGGAAACAGGACTTGTAAGTGATGAACTTGATTTTTATTAGGCTAACAGATTTTTGAGCAATGTATGGAAGGTTTGGCTTGGTTTCTTGCTGCTTATAGTAAAATCTGAGAGGGAAGAGGTAAATGGAAGGAGGAACTGTAGCCAAAAGGATCCAGGGGGACTTGATTTGGAAAATTCTGAGCTTATACAGATTGCAGAAGATCCTAAAACATTATCTGGAGAGAATGCCAGTGGTGTATCAGGACAAGCTTTTGCCCAGTGCCTTAGAAAAATCAAAAGCTCAGAGCATTCAGTTACACAGAGAGCTCTTTGAAGAGATTAGGCGTTGGACTGTCTTTCAGCACACAGTTACCCTGTTTAGATTGAGAGTATACATCCTGGACTCTTTATGTGAGTCATAGTTCAATGGCAGTTTACTTTTCTAAATTTTTGCAGTGCTATCATGGTTGACTTTATTCTGTTGGCTCCACTGGCTCTCCTGTATAATCCCTGCAAGTCCTGCCTGGGTTTCCTGGTGATGCTGGGTGGGAAGTTTAGGAAATGTTGGCCTATGGTTGCTGCCACTATAGTAGATTAGGCCTGCAGCTGCCCCAGATGTGGAGCAGGGACACTGCTGATGCCTCAGTAGTCCATGCCCACTGTTGTTCCAGGTATGGGATGATGGCCCTACTGACATTGCAATGGATTTGGCCCACTGCTCTTCCAGGTGTGGAGTTCTGGGGATTGGTTCCTGGCTATCTTTTGATAACATTGCTACTGCAGCCAGTTAGAGCCCATGCTACCACATGTGTCAGGTAGGAACCCAGGTAACACTGTTGCTACAGTGAATCTGGCTGCTGATTCTGCAGGTGTGCAGTGGGGGTCTAGCCAACACTGCTCTGGGTTTCAGGAGTAGGACAGGTCCCTGGCCTTTCTGGCATACATTGCAGGATATATAGATAATAAAAAGAAAACTCAGGTAATTCTGTGGTGTTACTGCTTAATCTTGAGGTCCCCAGGCAGTCTACCCTTTTGTTTCCACTTTTCAGAGGCATTTTATGATTACCCATTGAATTATTTATAAGACATTTAGTTGTGCTTTGAAGGGAGGAGTAGGGTAAAGCGAGTCTGTGCCATGTTGTCCTGGAATTAATAGAATACCAGTGCTTTTTGAAGTTACTTTCCATTGTCTAAACCTATTTCTACATATAAAATCTGTACATGTAATACAGTGTTTCAGAATTCTGCCCTGTGTATCAGCATTTTTGTTCATGTTACCCATCAGAAAAGCCCATGAGTTGGACAATCAATTGATCCTTTTGTATTGATTAATATGTACATATTTTAAATACTGCAAGTTCTCAAACAAAGCATAGGCTAAAGGTTTCAGCTCCAAGTTTTAAACAAAACTCATTGACTAGAAGAGCAAGTTGAAATTTTCTTTATGTATGGTCTTCACTCATTATTGAAAATGAACAAAATTAAAAAGTTTCTTTGTTAAATTTTAATGTTTATTAGTTCTTAAAACTTAGTTTAATAGGAATAAAATGTGTCTAAATACTTAGGTCAGTGGTTTTCAACCTTTTTCACCTCATGGCACACATAAACTAGTGATTCTGCGACACATCAAAAAATACAATTCTTACCTGGCAAAAAAATAGTTATAATTTTGATTCATTCACACCAGACACCGATTGCTGTGTGGACTGTTGTCCTTTTTTTGTTTGTCAACCTGAAGGAAAAGAGGTCAGTGCCCCTGATTAGTCAGTTACTGCATCTTTTTTCCCTTTATTTTCTAATGTTTTAAGTATATTTTATTGATTATGCTATTACAGTTGTCCCATTCTTTTTCTCCACATAATTCTCCTCCACCCTGTACCCCCATTCCTTCCAGCATTCTCCCCCTTTTAGTTCATGTCCATGGGTCATACATATAAGTTCTTTGGCTTTTCTATTTTTAATCTCCCCCCATCTGTTTTATACCTATCATTTATGCTTCTTATTCCCTATACCTTCCCCCCATTCTTCCTCTTGCCCCAGCTTGCTGATATCCCCCATGTGATCTCCATTTCTGTGATTCTGTTCCTGTTCTAGTTATTTGCTGTTTGTTTTTGTTTTTTTAGGTTTAGTTGTTGGTAGTTGTGAGTTTGTTACCATTTTACTGTACATAGTTTTTATCTTCTTTTTCTTAGGTAAGTCCATTTAACATTTCATATAATAACAGATTGGTGATGATGAACTGCCTTAACTTGACCTTACCTGGGAAGCATTTTATCTGCCTTTCCATTCTAAACAATAGCATTGCTGGAGAGAGTAATCTTGGATGTAGGTCCTTGACTTTCATGACTTGGAATACTTCTTTCCAGTCCCTTCTTGCCTGCAAGGTTTCTTTTGAGAAATCAGCTGATAGTGTTATGGGAACTTCTTTGTAGGTAACTCTTTTCTTGCTGCTTCTGGGATTCTCTCCTTCATTTTAATCTTGGGTAATGTAATTATGATGTGTTTTTCTTAGTGTTTCTTCTTATATCCAACTTCTTTGGGACTCTCTGAGTGTCCTGGACTTGCATGTCTATTTCCTTCACCAGATTGGGGAAGTTCTCCTTCAGCATTTTTTCAAGTAAGTTTTCATTTCTTGCTCTTCCTCTTTTCCTTCTGGCACCCCTATGATTTGGATGTTGGAACATTTAAAGTTGTCCCAGAGGTTCCTAAGCCTCTCCTCATTTTTTTAAATCCTTCTTTCTTCTGTCATGGTTGAATGTTTATTTCTTCCTTTTGTTCCAAATCATTGATTTGAATCCCAGTTTCTTCCCTTCACTGTTGGTTCCCAGTATATTTTTCTTTATTTCACTTTGTATAGCCTTCACTTCTCCTTTATTTTTTAGTCATAGTCAATCATTTCTGTGGTTACTAGTGTTGTGAACTCTGCATCTGATAGGTTGGCTATCTCTGTGGGTCACTTAGTTCTTTTTCTGCAGTTTTGATCTGTTCTTTCTTTTGGGCCATACTTCTTTGTCTCTTCAATTTGTTGATGCACCTGTTACATTGTAAGGGGCAGAGCCTTAGGTATTCACCAAGGCAGGACAACCCACTTCGCTGCATTATGGCACAGTATGTGGGTGAGGGTTCAGAGAGGAAACAATGCCACTTGCTTAGCTCTCACCCTGTTTTCAAGAGATTGGCAGTTTCTCCCACTGCCACAACTTGCACAGATTTTTACAGCCAGAGGTTCTGAGGCTTTATTTTGTCCAAGTTGGAACCCTGGGTTGCTCAGACTGCCTCGCTCCCCAGTTGTTTTTCCTAGTTTATCTGCATGCAAATGTGGGACTGCCCAGTCTGCCAGTGGCAACCTTGCCATGCATCCTCTCCACCCTGGCCCTGTCTCTGTCCCTCCTATCAGTCTGGATGAATGTTTCTTCTTTAACTCCCTGGTTGTCAGACTTCCATATAGTTCAATTTTCTGGCAATTCTGGTTGTTTTTTGTTTTACATTGGTTGTTTCCTTCTTTTGGTTGTGCGAGAAGCTAAGCATATCTACCTACTCCTCCATCTTTGCTGGAACTCTTAATGTTTCATTGTTTGTACTATTACAGTTGTCACATTCTTTTCCCCTTTGCCCCCCTCCACTCATATTGCATCTTTTAAATTTTCTTGTGGCACACTGGTTGAAAATCACTGACCTAGGTGTTTCTTTTTTCTTTCTTTCATTCAAGCTGGGAAGTTAATTTGTACTACCATTATTTTTATTTCTCTGAAGTATTTTTTAAAAGCAGTCATGGTCATTGAAATACATATAGTTTAACATATTTTTGCCATCTGTATGCAAGACTATTTTAAGAACATTTTCTAAGTTAAAGTTTAGAAACTTTTTTCCTATCATTAATTTTGTGTGGAAAAAACAAAATTAGTAACCCTTTCCTCAAATGCTTTTACCTCACCCAATTAACAGGTTGCAAATTCAGAGACTTTAAATTTGGATAAGAACCCAGAGTCCATTAATAGTTCAGATGAAAGAAAGACTTCTTTGAACTCTGCACCTTCTAACCCTTCTGAAAAAGCAAGTGAAAAGATTGATTTGTCACAGGATCATGATGAGGCTGTTTCTGAAAGGTAAGCATTTCCACAAAAATGCATAAACTTATTTATCTAAATATTTGCTTATAAACACATACCCTTTTGTCAGTTAAGTATAAAATAGCTTAAAGCTTCATATTTATATGAACACTGTTATATTATGAAGGACTAGAGTTGGTTCTTCAAAGCTTTTATTTTTGTTTTCACAGTACTAAATAAAATTTTGAATTGGTTAGGTGTCAGGTTTTTATTGTGATGCTTTCCACCTTTGGTATGGTGACTGGAGTGATCAACTGGAGCACTCCCCTAGTTTCCAGTTCTGCACATGGAAAAGTCAAGGCTGCATGAAACAGTGATTTGAAAAAATTACACAAAGGAGTAAGATTAGGGAAAAAGTGCCTAAGTAGTATCATAACTTCAAATTACAGGGAACGAACGGGGTAAAGTATTTGCATTATTGAGTCACAAAGCAGCTGAGACACTTTATCTCTGATGTAGTTTAAAAGATTTTGGGCTTATAGGGAAGAAGTAGTTTAGTTTAACAAAGAAACATGACTGGTAGCCCTGGCCTGGATTAATTTTCAAGAAGGTGAGGGTGCACTTTAATAAATTATTTTCTCTTCGCTATCGATTTTTAACAGTTTGAAGTTTTATAGTATTATTATTTACTTACTCTTAAAATTTACTTCTTAAAATATCCTGTGGTATTGTTTTTATATGTTAATTTATACTTCAGCTTTTAAAAAGAAGAATATATATAACCAAATTAAGTGAATTAAATGATGGTCATTGTTTGAGGAATATACCCTTTTCTCTGAATAACTATGCTTACTCAAGAATGAATAAAACAAAGGAGAAGTTGTTTTAGTCTATACCAGGGGTGTCCAACCCTTGGCCTCAGGCCACATGTGGCCCAGGATGGCTATGGATGTGGCCCAAACACAATCATAAATTTACGTAAAACATTTTGAGTTTTTCTAGTAATTACATGTTGCAATGCCACGTAAAATAAATGGACATACACTCTCACTATTTGTATGCATGAGTGGCTTCAGTCTCATGCCAGTGTTCGGCTTCCACTGTATTATCTTCTAAGCTCAGACAGAATTGACATCATCAGATGTTACACATGTACTCATGGTGACTTAGCAAGGCAGCAATTATCAGTAATATTTCAACCTCCTATTGCAATATCAGGCATATAATGTTATTTAGAAGTCAGGTAAGCATTCATATTTGATTATAAAAGGTACTTCCATACCTTGGTGTCATCTCACACATCACCTGCCACACTTTCGAAGCAGCCCTCTATTTCACCCTGCATCGGCAGCTGAGAGGGCTGCGGAAGGGCCCAAACTTTGCTTTTTATTTTCCTGTCAATTAATTTTCTGATGCAAACACCAGCCTGCAGTGTCCGCATCATTGTGGATGAAATGAGACATTCATACAGACTACTGAGTCCGGTGGAGGAAAAGGGACAGCATGGCTTTTCTCTCAAGGGGAGCAAAAAGCCCCTGCCTCTGCCATGACAGGCCTTTATTGGGTTTCTCCGCCCATTACATGATGGCCCTCATTTACTATGCACAGGTTCACTTTAGATGGTTACCTTTTACAGAAAACAAAGGAGCCAATGCTGCTAATCACATCACAGAAGAGGGATATTTGCAAATGAAAAGGCAAAAGTAGTTGAACTGGGTACACTCATCCTTGGAAGGTTTAGCATGGTTTTTAGGAAGTTGCTTTGCAGTAAATGTCCTCAATTCAGGGAAAGTTTTAGCAAAAAGCAAGACTCATAGCAGCCTATGTACTTTGCAGGCCTGATTCCCCACAGGAGAACCTATCTGTGGGCGTGGGTCCTGTGCATCTCTGAGTGGGAGCTGGGCCCATGCCATGCAGAATGGTCTACTACAATTTTCATAATAAAAGTAAATAAAGTCCCTTATCTATTATTTTTTAAATACCAGCCTAACATCTACAATGTTGCAAAAGAAAAAATAACCCCAAAACGAAAAATTACAAATGACTAGTTTTTTGTTGAGGCTAATAGTAAGACACTATGCTTAATTTGTGGGGAATTTGGTGCAAGTTTTCGAAGACTATAATTGGAAAAGGCATTATATGCAAAAACATGCTGCCAAATTCAATGCATATGAAGATTTGTGTTGTAAGGACAAAATGGTGGAACTGAAGAAAGTCTGTCTTAACAAAAATTTCTTAAGTTACAACTCAGGTGGATTCCATTGTGAACCTAATTATGTGGTAGTATATTTAATAGCAAAAAAAAATCAAAACCACTTAGTGATAGTAAGTTTATTAAGCAATGTATAGAAAGTGTGGCAGATATAATTTGCCCTCAAAAAAAAGGGTGGATATGTCTAAAATCAGTTTGTCTAACCAGATTATAGCCAGGCAAATTTGAAGAAATTAGAAAATCTATTGAAAGAACTTTGGAGAGTAAAGCTGCTAATTTTAAATTTTATGCTTTGGTGATAGATGATAGCACTGTTGCTATAGCTACGACTTAACCTACCATTCTTATTAGAGGTATTGATGATGACTATAATGTCACTGAAGAAATGGCTTCTTTAATGCCATTAAAAGATACAGCTAAATCAAGAGATTTATATGAAGCAGTAAAAAATATGTTAAAGTGATTTTCTTTGTCCATTGTCCACATATCTGATAGAGTTACTGATGGTGGCCTAGCCATGGTAGGTAAAAGAAAGGGACTTGTAAAATTAATAGGAGACAATGCAATTGCCACCAAAACTCACATTCGATGAAGTATCATTACATAGAACATCAAGACAATTTATGCACAAAAGTTTTAAAAATGGATAATGTCATGCAAATCATCATCAAGACTGAATTTCATAAGAGCCAAAGGATTGAATCATCACCACTTCAGGAATTCCATAGAAGTATTGATGCTGACTATGGGAACATCATTTACTTTTCAGAAGTATGATGGCTAAGTTGAGGCCAGATGTTGAAAAGATTTTATGATTTGCGACATGTCATCAAGTCGTTTATGGTATCAAAAAACAAATTGTTCCTGAACTTGACGATGAAAACTGGCTTACAGATTTAGCATTTTTAGTGGATTTAACTGCTCATTTAAATGAGTTAAACATGTATTTTCAAGGTGAAAACCTTATCAGTACCATGTTTCAAACCATAACAATGTTCCAAATGAATCTGAAATTATGGCAAACAATTTTATGTATTTTGCTGGCTAACCTAACCATTGGCTAAACACAGTCCTGTGAACAGCAAAAAATGCAGCCTTGCTTTTTGATTTGATACAAAATTTGAAAACAGACTTCAAGATTTCTGGGAAAATAATATTTTGCTATATTTGTGATTCCATTTTCAGTCAACAAAAATATGTTACCTGCCAATTTTCTAATGGAATGCACAGAGCTGCAACCTGACATGCAGCATAAAAATTTGATTGTGTCTCTTTACTGGACTTTTATAGGTCCTGTCTTCCCAGAGACAGATATCCCTTGCTTCACAATCATGCCTTATTCATGTCATTGCTATTTGGCAGCACCTACATTTGCAAGCAACTATTTTCAAGAATGAAAGACATTAAGAGTAAAATTGGAACCAAAATATCTGATACCTTGAGAACTCACTGAGAACTGCAAGTACTTCTGACAAACCAGATATTGATGCACTAGTTTCTCAAATTCAGTGTCAAACATCCCAGTAGTTTTATGTTGCCCTTTTACTTTTATAATAAAGTTTTTTTAAATCAGTGATATTACTTAGATATGTATATTTTCTATATTAGTGATCACAAACTTGGGACCTGCTTGACAATTTTAAAAGATTATCAAAAGGACCGCTGCATAATTAGGGTTATTATGTAAGCACCTTTTTGCTTATCTGTGGTGGCATATACCACGAAAATTATGCATGGACCTTTTTTTTGCTCATCAGTTTTTGTTAGTGTTTTTATTTAATGTGTGGGCCAAGACAACTTTTCTTCCAGTGTGGCCCAGAGACACCAAAAGATTGGGCATCCCTGATCTATACCATTTGCAGTAGATTCTTGATGTTTGGGAATATACATGAAGTTTTGACTCTTTGGGGAAAAAAACTTAATATTTTGTGATATTGAGGCCCATATTTTAGTTTTAGTCCACGAAGCTGCTATAAAGAAGGCATTTATTTTTTTGGTGAAGACGAGTCACATTTCCTTGAGTCTTTATTGTTTCCAGTTGTTGATGCCTATGCTAAAACTCAAAGAGACAAAAATGAAAAATACTGATGACAGAAGTGAAAAAGTGAAGATAACACCATTAAAATTGCATCTACTGACTAATACATCAAATTTATCAATGGCTTATATCTATGATATGAACCATCCCCCTTGGCTCCACCAAAGTGAATAAAGAATGTACAATTTATGAAACTGTTTCAGGCAACACTCTCAGCCCATGGTGAGTGTGAGAATAGGTGTCACAAGTATGTAACTTGACTCTGACGAAGAGTTCAATGGTGAGTTTTATAAAATAGGGAAGAAACATTAGCAGTCTTAAACAAACTGTAGCAGGTCCTTGAATAATGTCATTTTGTGTAACCTTGTTTTCTTCTAATGTCAATGAGATGCTGTGAGAATTTAATTCTTGTTTATATCAATTGGCCTATGGTAAAATTGATTTTCTGATAGTTTCTTCCCTTAAAATCACAGTACCTATTGACAGTGTTACATGAGGACTTACCATATTCCAAAGAATAAAAAAAGAGGGAATGTTCTTCAATTCATTTTATGAAATCAGATCATGAAATCTAGTATAAGTGTGATACAGCAATATGAAAATTTTTAAATTTTACAGAAATGAAAATTACAGTTCACTTTCAGTCCACTTTTATGCATGAAATAAATGCAGGTGTCTTAAATAAAATACTAGTGAAACAAAATCAGCAGTCCACAAAAGCCGAGCTTGTCCAAGAAATGCTGCAAGATTGGTTCAACCAACAAAAAATAATTTGCCAGGAGAATAATCATCAGCTTACAATAAAATGAAAGATAAACACCATGCCCTGGTTGGTGTGGCACAGTAGAATGAGCACCAGCCTGTAAACCAAAAGGTCACAGGTTCAATTCCCAGTCAGGGCACATGCCTGGGTTATGGGTCCTGAGAACCACATGTGTAAGAGACAACCAATAGATGTTTCTTTTCTTCTCCTTCTTTCTCCCTTCCCCAGTCTCTATAAATAAATAATTAAAGGATGGAAGAAAGGAAGGGAGGGAGGGAGGAAGGGAGGGAAGGAAGGAAGGAAGGAAGAAAGGAAGAAAGAAAGAAAGAAAGGAAGAAAGAATGAAGGAAGAGAAGGGAAGGGAGGGGAAAGAAAAGAAAAGAAAAAGGAAAGGAAAAGAAAAAAGAAAAGAAAAGAAAAGAAAGGAAAAATCTTTAAAAAAAAAACACAAAACAACCACTGCCCTGGCTGGCGTAGCTCAGTGGATTGAGCGCAGGCTGTGAACCAAAGTGTCGCAGGTTCGATTCCCAGTCAGGGCACATGCCTGGGTTGCAGGCCACAGCCCCCAGCAACCGCACATGGATGTTTCTCTTTCTCTCTCTTTCTCCCTGCCCCCTTCCCTCTCTAAAAATAAATAAATAAAATCTTTAAAAAAAACAAACAAACAACCACCTACAGCTCCTCGGCGGGCAATTCCTGACTCTGGTGGTCCCTATAGGTCTCTGCTCCAGCTCTGGTCTGGCTCAGCAGCCCAGCACAGATGCCGCTGGCCCATTATTTGGGCCATGGCCAACATGGAACAAATGGTACAGTCTGGTGGATGAAATCAAGTGCTTTGAGCAGAATCCACGTTGTGGCTATGAAGTTACTTGAGCTTCTGAGGAGCTCCTGAGGCAGCACTACATTGACCTGAAAGACCACCCATTCTATCTCAGACTGGTGAAGTACATGAACTCAGGACCTGTGGTAGTGATGGTCAGGGGCTGAATGTGATGAAGGGGAGAATGATGCTTGGGGGGACCAATCCAGCAGATTTTAAGCCAGACATCATTTGCAGAGACTTTTGCATTCAAGTAGGCAGGAATGTCATTCACAGCAGTGAGTGAGTAAAAAGTACCTATGGTTTAAGCCCAAGAACTGGTTGACTACAGGTCTTGTGCTTTTGACTGGATCTGTATGAATAAGATGTAGACAAAGCATTAGTCCCCTTTGGCTCCACTTGGATGTGTCCTTGGACACAGCTCTTCATTCCATTGACTTAGAAGCAATAGGATTGATCTTTTCTAAAGCATAAAGCCTTTGGAAACTAGAGGAGTGGGGGATGACACCATCTACAAAAACCCTAAAACAAATCTGATGTTGAAATATTGGAAATATTCCTTTAGGATATAAAAAGGAAAAAGGATGCTTACTCTTACCACTTTAACATTACACTATTATACTGTATATCTTGCCTAATGCAAAAAGAAAAAAATGACAGAAAACCAAAATAAAAGGATTCAAAAAGAAAGAAGAATTAATATTTCTACTATTCTTAAGTGATTGGGAATCTGCACATTGGGATCTACCTAATATTTTTTAAAGGCCATAGTGTTCCATTATGTGAATGTCAAACCCTCTATTTTAGGCACTTAAATTGTTTCCATTCTTTTTGTTTAAGATTTTATTTATTTATTTTTAGAGAAAGGGGAAGGGAAGGAGAAAGAGAGGGAGAGAAACATCAATGTGTGGATGCCTCTCACATTCCCCTTACTAGGGACCTGGCCTGCAACCCAGGCATGTGTGCTGACTGGGAATTGAACCAGCAACCCTTTGGTTCGCAGGCCAGCTCTCAGTACACTGAGCCACACCAGCCAGGGCTACTTTTGTTTAATTTATAGAGAACCATTTCAGTCAGTTTTTCAGTGTATAGTTTTATGGAACTTGACAAGCTGATTTGATTTTTAAGTGTATATGTAAATGTAATAGTTTAAAAGGCCAAGATATTCTTTAAGTAGAGAAAGAAAATGGAAGGAATTTGCCATCAGAGGTCAAAACATTTAAAAAACGCAGTAATTAGGATAATGTTATATTGGCAAGTATGGGATAATGTGATATTGCCAAGTAGAGAAGTGTAGCAGAGCCCAGAAACCTATACATGTATGTATTTGTGATATGTTGTGATATGTGATGGAGACTGTTTGGCAGATCATTTAGGAAATAATTGACTTTCAGTAATTACTTTTCAGTAATTGACTTTTCAGTTGTTAATTTGCTATTCATTTTGGGTGAAATATGACAGAAATTGGATCCCAGTGCCGGGCTATACATAAAAAT